CAGCTGCACTGGCTGTGTGCAGAACACTTTTTAATGCACCGTAACCAGGGTTCGGGTTCCTGGATCTGTGATTTCAGCAAAAACAAACAGCATTATGCAAATGCAATTTCAGCTGCTAAGTGGGGGAGATGAGTGATGGAGCGAGATGCCAGCACTGAACAGACAGAGATAAAAGGGGGGACGGGGGTAGGTTTGGGGTAGTGGTGGTGGTGGTGGAGGGTCTCGACCATGATATCATATCTGTGCCATATTTTGCACTAACCCCAGTGAGTCAGCACAGCCCACCCAGCGAGGATGTGTGGTCACACCTCGGACTCGGAGGACACTTCCCTCTCAAAATAGCACATTTGTAATGTCATGCAGGCGAGGCTGCTACCTCGGCGCTGACTGACCTGCACATTTTTATTGCCCGACAACATGGCTGACCTTTGAGCCTCAACGGGCCATCGTTGTGGATCACACGGGAATGCACACACACACACACACACACACACATAAAAATGACTCCACAATGTGTCCGCACGTACACATGAGAACCAATGTCTTACATGTGCACATCACACAGAGGGAAAAAGCAACCGAACTACAAATCCCATTTCGTACTCAAACACCACCTCAACAACCATCATGCCCTTTATGTCAGCAGAGAAGAAAAATGCCACAATGGCTTCAATCAGCCCCAACCAAAATGCAGAGTTCATTCTCCACCAGAGGCATTTTTATCTTTAATTAGAGGAGTGAGCAGCTGTCTACAACCCAAAACCTGCTCACCGCCATGATGGCAGGCCTGCTCGCGAACACTGATTTCAAATCCAAGTCACATTCTCTCACTTGCTCCATTTTCCTTCATGTTGAGACACTGTAGGTGCAAAGTTCAGCCTTGATTTGGAAGGAAGGGTAACTGGTGTGGATTTGGTTGGTGTGATCATATACATAAGATTCAGTTTAGAAACAATTCAAATGAATCTGAATCTATGTTGATATTTTCAACCTTTATTAAAACTCTGTGTGGGTCAAAGCTAGTCAACATTTTAACCGATGTACCTGATTAAATAAAGCTTTCTCTCCTTGCTGTGAAGAACCAGTTGTTTTTATCCTTAAGAGCACCTTCAGGTTCCCTGGACTTACAAATGGAACTGACTCAGCACTTAGTCTCTTTATTCTATTAATGTAATTAATAGAATTATGATTTTTTTTGCTAATAAAACAACTGATCAAAAAATTGGTAATTAGTAGCTTACTTGTAGCACGTAGAGCTTTGTTTCTAATCCCTCAAACTGAAGCACTACTTACGTTACGTTACATACTCATGGTGTGCAGCAAAATACTATTCAAACATCCAGATTACTTTAAATGATTGTAGACACCACAAAGTCTTCTAAGATACCAAATATTTCAGACATAATGTTGTAGATTTTATATAAAATGATGCACAAACGATTGCATGTGGTAAAACTGTGCAGCCATCTTGTGTTTGAATATTTCCTCTCAGTTTGAACAGTCATACAGCTTCAATGAGGAACAGTGTGGAATGATTTTTCCAACCTTAAAGCCTCTTAAATAGAAAAAATGGAAACTGTATATTGGGGGGTCAGTGAAGCAGCGGCCCCAGCTCTCTTGTGGTAACGCAGGGTCTGCAGTAACTTTCCCTCTACTTCCACCGAGGATGTAGAATATCATTAGAGGAGATGGTGAAACTGATCACAGTAACCTTCACCCCTCTCCCACCCTGCCTTCGCCAGTTTCATCCTCGCCTCGCTGTGTTGTTTTCCCTCTCAGCACTTTAATCTTAAAAGCGGCTGCCCCTGATGAGGAAGATCAAAGCAGCCCAGCGAGGAGCACAGGTCACCGACTCCATCCTCGTGATCATGCCGCACGGTGATTTTATTGATTTCTCTGAGATCAATCTCATCCTCTATTGTATCAAAGAGAGCTGGACGTGGAGAAAGCAGGAGGAGGAGGAGGAGGAGATTCCGACCTGTTATGTAAGTCGCAGGAAGGGTTTTTCACAAGGTAACAACAATGTGTGGAACAGTCCACCGAGGTCTTGGATGTTTTGGGGTTTAAAAAAAAAAAAACTTTTTGTCTAAATTTGTCTGTCGTGTCAGCCTGTGCAGATCTGGCAGGGAGAGTTTTTCCAAGAAATGAGCGAGATGAACGCTCTCTCATAGCCACAGGGAGTTGCATGACGTCAGTCGCCATTCACTGTTTGTGCACAGTTTTGTGTTTTGTTACACACACACGCACACACACACACACACACACACAGACACACACACAAGGATGTATGAAGCAGTGTTTTTTTTCCAGATGAATGCTTGCATAGATGCCTAGTTCTTAAGTAAGATAACCCTTTGGAGCAAGGCAGAGGTGGATTACATGGCTGCTGAGCCCAGAGTCACAGCCAGGGATCCAGTCGAAGTGGTGGGAGGGAAGGATGGAGGAGGGAGAGAGAGAGAAACAGAGAAAGAGTGAAAGGAAAAAAGGAGCGAGAGAGAGAGGAGAGGGAGAAAGACGAAAGCAAGTAAGGGGTTTCTATTTCAAATCTCCCCGAACCCCCAAGGCACTTCCGTTCTGGCTGCATCCTCCACCAAAATAAATCATTTCCATCAAAGGAAAAGCTCTGACCATTCAGTGCTTTTCCTCATCCAAAGCAAACTCACATACGCTCTTGTATTTATGAGCTAAAAAACACATCCAGTGCAGTTTAAAATGACCACCACATACACAGATTTGACAGGCTGGCAAAATCAAAACCCTGACAGGCAAAATTAACTAGACATCAACTTAAAAATGGCACAATTAATAATAGAAAAGACATCTCCTTCCATTCCAACTGGCAAACTTGTTTTTCACACTCTTATATAACATCTCTATTATGTTCCATGGAGAGACTGCTTTGTAAATTATCTTTTTCTTTTCTCACACTCTGGATTCTCTGCAAAAGGCTGCCCTTCATATATATTATATATATATATTTCTAAATGCATCAAAGCATGCAACCATACGTGAAAACCAGTTATTTCACACTATAAATAAAGTAGATTTAATGCAGTGAAACTACAATGGAGTTGTTTCAGTGTCAGGTGGTATGCGGTCTGTCTGTCTGTCTGTCTGTCTGTCTGTCACACGGATCAATAGGTGGTGCTCTTGCATGGGCTGCTGAACTTTTCCCCCTGTCCTCTCCAAGTGGCACATGACGTTCAATCTTTGTGTAGCGAGATGTTTTCTGTTGTTGTTGTTGTTGTTGTTGTTTATTGCAATGGTGTGTGACCAGACATTTATTAATAACAAATTGCTTACGTCATCTGACAAGCAGGGGGGGAGATCGTTTACGTAGACGGTGATGATGTGATTGGTCGCCGAATTAAAACACCAAATGATGCCAGTTTAGAGAAGAAGGAGGTTTGTTTTTATTTTATTTTGTAGGTAACTGCTTGGAGAGGAGAAGGGGTGGTGGTGGGGGGTGTCAACAGAATTACACCACCGAGGCTTGACAACGTGAAGCAGTCACACACACACACACATACACACACACATACACACATGCAGCCCACCGCGCGCGCAGCCGGGGCTGTGCGTCCGAGTGCGCCAGTGAGTGTGTGTTTTGAATTCAAATGCAGCAACACACCAGAGCTGCAAATGCGGAGACTGAGAGGAGGATGGCGATGATGTGTTTGGGAACGGAAGCCTTCACAATTTTTTTTTTCATTTTTTCTTTCTTCCTACCCGAGTGAAATGTATTCACAAGATGCCTCAGCCTGGCTCAGATTCTCCCGGCTCACCCATACATACAATCACACACACTGACCCGTGATAAGTAGCCCACTTCAGAGGTATTCCAGCCGTGCCTAGCTGGCACAATTGGCAACATTAAGCAAGGGGGGGGTGGGGGGTAATAATCATGAAGATGCACCTACCATATTGACTTCAGAGACCATGTCTATGCTGGCTATGTCTATATTCATTCCCACGGCCACCGGCGCACCTGTGAAGGAAAGGAGGCATTAATACAACATGTATGAATAATTCTCTCATCATGTAAATTTAACAAATTCGTGACGCGCGCTCAGGTTCCTCTCAGCTCCCCTCCACCTACAGGAGACTCGTGCATCATCAGCCCGAGCAAAGGGGGAGAAAAAAAATAATAAAAAATCATCTTTAACACGGAGATGAGCTTAAAAATGCTGCTAATTTAATCTTTTTAGTGGAAATCATCAAACATTGATAAGCGGGATCGATCACGTTAAAAGCCAAGTCTTATCTCCTCATCAGATGAAATATGCTCATCATTTCTCATAGCCTAATTGGAAAGGCCTATTTGGCTGTGAAGGGACGATTATGTAAATTAAAGCAGATTTTGCGATTCATTAAACATGTATTGCACGTCAGGAGGGCGTGAAAACATGACATTCCGTTTTCAGTTTGCTCGTTACCTCCGAAATCTGGCCTCAACCGAATGTCGTATCCTTTCATCAGTCTGTCCACTGTTTCTTTTACCAGAGGCATATTGCTCGGATCTTTGAGATCCTTGACGCTGGAGAGAGAAGAGGGAAAAAAAGGTGGTGTAATGCAGAATAGCTTATTAATATCACACGGCAAGGCACGCTTTAACAGAGGCTACATTACATGCAAGACAGAGGACAAAAAGATGCAAACGGGATTTACCTTTGAGCCCAGACGAAAGTCACTAGTAAGGAAAAAGTCAAAATCCCAAAGTGGTTTTTCCTGATCCTCCCCATCGCAACAGTTTTTGAGGTGCTTTCGCGATGCGAGTGAGGAGAGCGCACATCCAACTTACTCCAGACAGTGCAGAGGAGCCAATGAGAGGCGCATGCGTGCAGCCAGCCCAAGATCAAAGAGTGGAGACTGATGATGGTGGATGAGCAGTTTCCATTGCAGAGAAAAATATTAAAGGGACAAGTGGTTGTGCGTAATGAAGAAACAAGCGTTTGTGCCAGGAGTGAAATGAACAACAACGGCGTTAATTTCAGGCTCATTTTATTTTTACGTTTATTACATGGCAGATAAGTTTGTCTATATCCTGACAAGGTCAAACAATGGGATGCTCTGCAGGGTTAAAGTGGTCTAAATGTCAAGTTAAGATCAAGTTTATTCCTTCAGTTTTTATGTTACAGGACAAAAAAAAAAAAAAGACCAACATCACTCCATCCCATAAGAGCAGACACTTTACATACAAACATCTGCGCCCAACAATCGTGCGCCATCCATACGAAAATAGAAAATTAATGTCATCAACACCCATGGGTATTGTATCCTACTCTTCCCTGCAATGTCTTCAGAGGACCTGCAGTGGATCTGGAAATGCAAAGGGAGCACCAGAGCGCCAGAGCAGAAAGGTGGGATGGAAAACACAATCCCACAATTCATTTTCTCAGGTTTGAGTACATTTTTGAAGCCACGGGGAGGGATGCGAGCCTCTTCTAAATTGCCTTTGATCTTGTTGTAGTGGGAGCTGTGTTTCTGTAGAGGGCAGGCTTCTGAAAGCATTGGTTCACTGTTGCATCACCACCAGTTACAGCCATCATAGATTATATCATCCACTTCTTTTTGATGTGTTTCTTGGTTTGTGTGTGTGTGTGTGTGTGTGTGAGTCTGAGTGTCATGCATACTGTATGTGTGTGTGTGTATGGCGTCTATCTCGGTCCGGGGGCCTGAGAAGTTGTTGTGTGTACGCGGCGGGCTTTAAAGTGATTGAGGCCCGTGAAGGGCAGCTCTTCAGCTACTGATCAGAACACAAGTGGGCAGTGGTCACAGCCTGTGAAATGAATAGATGTGCGGCAGGAGAATAAATGAGTTTCTGATTCATTTCCTCTGTCAGATGAGAGCAGAGTGACTGCTGAGAGCTTGTTCTCATACACACACACACACGCACACACACACACACAGAGGATGGTGAGGTGAGGCTGGCTGGATGCTGAAGGTCTCTCCAGCTGCACGTGCCCTTTCCCAGGTCCTCTTAGTTGTGAAGTTGCACGTCCCTGCAAGAGCAGAAAACAGCAGAGCAGAGAGAATGTGAGAGGAGCATACAGAAACCTCTCTTTCCACATTCAGAGATGCCGTATCTGCAGTCTACTGCACAGCCCTCAACTGTTACTGTGCTTCCCTGTCCTCTCAGTGCCTTCTTCAAAAGTACCAAGCCAAGAGACGTGGCGGAAATATGTAAAGGGAATAGATGTGATGCAGCTGTTCTCGTGCTCTCCATCTTGTCTCTCTCATTATTCTGCAGAACGTTATAAACAAAACAACCATAAAAATCCTCTGACAGGAACATGAGAAGCATGATGAGCAGATTTACACTCCCCAGTGTTACATAACACACATCTCTATCTCCCCTCTCTCTCTCTCTCTCCTTTTTTTCTCTCTGTCTTTTTGCACTGTATCTCTCTCTTTCTTTCTTGGACATGGAGCTTTGTGTTCTATAAGTGGCTCACTTATAAGCGGGAAAGTGAATAGTCGCTTTCTCATGTGCTTAATGTACAAAGTGAGCTCAGGTTTTTATTTTGCCTGTGAGACCTGCTCCCCACGGAAAACCAGAGTTGTCATTAAACCGGCTGGGGTTTTGCCACCCCTCAGGTAAACCTTATATAAAAGAGCTTGATTCATATTTTTTCTTCTCAAATTAACTGAGCGCCCAGCCCTTTATGTATTGTAAATCTATGATGATGATGATAAAAGCCACAGTGCTGGCGTCAGTGCAGCAACAACGCCACCTAACATCATTCTCCTCTTCTTTTTTTCTTTTTTTCGCTTACAACTCCCGGGGCTGTTTCAGCATTAGAAATTATTGATGTCTTTACTGCCTAGATAAAAGTCTTTGACAAAAAACTGTGGGTAGTTATTGTTCCACTGAAGCTATCATAATTAGAGCAGAGTGAGACAGGTTTGTGGCTCTTTGAGATACAAAGTAAGCATGCATAAATATCCCCCGTCCATTGTCTGATCTTTTTTATCCTTTTTACCTCATTTGTAAAAGAATGCTGGACGACCTCCAAGTATGTCTCCATTTTTACTATTTTGTACGTAAGGCATTTTTGGATCCACTGCTTTATTATGCAAGACTCAAAAGGTTAACGGTGAAACTCCAAAAGGGAAGCTTCCTTGGACGTAATCATGGAAACACAAGTGGTGTGTGTGTTCAGGGACGCATAAATCTTTGTTTGCAAATAAAAAAATTTTTTTCTGGTACATAAAATGAAACATATCAAACCATCTCCCTCTCTCTTATTCAGATGAAACAATGTGAGAAGAGATCATCTTTCTCATAACTGGTTAACATATTCAACCTGTTATATAAAGTTGCAGGTAGATATTGCTGGTGTCAAGTGTCAATCTCCATTACCTACAGTGGAATAACAATTTAAGGATAAAGGTGATGATATTCTATATTTCTTCTATTGTCAAAAATTCTCTAAAACGGCCAAAATCAACAATCAGTGATACCAGGAAGTTGCAATGTTGCGATCGCGGCAATTAATGCAAATTCAACCGATCTCCCAAAATACTGAAATTTTGTCCAATCACTGCAGCCTTTCTGCTAATCTGACCAAACATTGTAGTTTCCTGTGAAAAACACTGAGCCATTTATCATCACACTTACCCTGTCCAAACAGTGCACTGTTAACCTGAACAAGTTGCCATACATCTTTAATGAATTATACAAAAAAAGGCAACTTTTTTTGCACTTGAATGAATGAATGATTTTTTTGTGCACTTTCACAAAATGCCTAAAAACATTGCAACATGTATTTTGTTTTTAAAAAAGATGCTGTGAAATCAGGCATTTTAGGCCACAACAATCCCCCAAAAGGGCCAGTGAAATCCTGGAGGAACTTAACAATATGTTTGGGGACTATATTTTCAGTTGCGGATGAATACACATTTTTTGCTCAAGTGAGTATTTATGGCACCAGGACAGTATGTGATATGGACTCAAAATAAACTACAGTGTCCAGGTTAATCATAATAAAGGAACATGTCACCCAGTTTCTGGAGCTCTATGGCATGGAGGAAAAAGCCTAATATATATATAAATATAACAAGATAACTGAATGTGATTAGTGTACCTGGCACTCTCCATGCTGTCCTTGGCCAGGTAGATGTACCAGTAGACTAAATTGAAAAGGGCGAAGGCCAGGGGGAAGAGGATACGGGCGTAGGCGTCGATGGGGCTGGTGCCGGCCAGCTGAGGGATTTGGGGAAAAGCTGAGCCCTGCTGGAGGAAAATCGGCAGCGGTGGAGCATCTCCTGGCTCACTGCGACACACTGAGTGGTTTCTCCTCTTCAGGCTTTCCTGAGGGCTGCTGTCCAACTGGTGGATGGGGGGCGGGGTTGATTTGGAGGAAAAGCAGGGAGAGGTGAGATGGGGTTAGTGTGGGTTATTGTCAGGTTTCTGCCCGGTGAGAGAAAAAGAAAAGGAACTGGGTATTTATAGCCAGCAAGTACGTATATGGTGGATTTAACATGCTAAAGTCATGTATATGAAGCTGGAAGTAATGTTATCTCCCACAGGAGCTTTCTCTCAAAGGCATGCCAACATCCCTATAGAATGCAGCAGGTAGTTTGCTGGATGCCCATAGGATGGTTAGGAGATTATGCAGGGAGGAGAGCTGGAGTTGTTTCTGTTCTCACACTGAGGCTATTTTTAAAGCATCTAACCATGAGCCCTACACGTGAGACAGATCCCAGGAGGACGCTGTGGTGGCTTACTGTATTAGCATAAAGCATATAGCTAGAGAAGAGAGCACTACAACAGCACGAATTACTATTTAATGTGTGGTGTGCTCTGAATGGGAAGAATGGAAGAGGCAGGGTGACTACTTGGAAATGCATAGAAAAAGACTTCCTATCTGTGGCATGGTATTTTTTTTTCTTCTCTACATCTGAGTCTGGAGCTGCTGACTTCCTGTTCATTATCAACATCACTGCATCAAACTCTCTGCGGTAGTGAGCAGAGTCTGTACCATCACCATTATTAGCTATGTAAATGTATTTGAGATGCCACAGGATTCAAATCACACCCCTTTTCCAAGTGATAGCATGAGCTGATGCTGCTGAGCAGGTTGCTTTCATGCCAAGTGTAGGAGCAAAACCTTTTTCTATCCTATAATCAGGTCTCAAATCTCCAATCAGTAGCAGTAAAGATGTTCCCTGTTTATGAGTAGGAACCAATTGTGTTATTGGTCTGATCACTGACTTCTATAGCTTCCTATCACTGCAGATAATCAGGTCACATTGAAACCATTCCATTGCTTTCTTTTCAAGCATTGGACAATAAGATATTGCTAGATGTTGCTAGAGTTAGCAGCCAGTTATATTTAATCAGCATTAAGACTGTAAACAGGAGGAAACTAGCTATCTACGCTGTGCTATGATAAGCTAACAATAGTTTCATTCATAGTTTTCTCTCTCTGCAAGAAAGTGAATAAGTGTTTGTGTTCAAAAACGATTTCTATTCTGAATCTTTTATTTTTTATGTCTTTGTTTTATTTAAATATCACAGTCTTATCTGAAGATTTTGACTTTTCTTGTTATTTATTTAGTCTATGGCTATTCCCTGAATTATTTTGTTCCATCTCTACTTTTCTTCTTGATCATAGTCTTACTATGAGCGACGATGTCCTACATGAACACATGATTTTCTGTAAAAGTTGCAACAATTTTGATTATTTCACATGAGAGATTTCTGTATTTTTGTGAGTCATAGAAAAACAAGCGACTTCCCAGAAATAGAAATGAATGACAGACCAGGGAGAGTTAATAGATAATTAGAACAATTATAATACGTTCTCTTTCATATCAAACAGGATGAGTGGCAAGAATTGTTCTTGCAACTACATACAGCCTAACCATGTTATGTGATCTAATATTTCACCTTAAGAACAAATATTACTGGGAACACTAAAGAAAATTGGAGATGAGCATTTAATATCCAGGAATTCCCATTAAAAACACTACCAATGATCATACATGGTCTATCATATACTAGGTTTCGAACTAGGAAGGGCCACTACACCACCACATAGTCTGAATCAGGACATCAGCTGAGATGTAAAACTCCTAAATAATAGTAACCTAGGAAGTTGTTTTCTAAACTGTCGCTCTAATTATGCTTACTTAGTTATGAATATTTAATGTTATAGAGACATGCTAAAGATTTAAAACAATCTTTTCAGGCTCTTTAAAGTCTTAATATACCACTTTTCTGCAGTTCTACATTGTTTTATGTTTAATATATGAACTGAAAAAGGAAAAAAGAGAACAATATTTTGTATGTTAACCAATAAAAACTCTTTTACTTGTTACTCTGATATAAAATTGGCAAAGAAAAGTCTGGGACATCTGTTGCACTCAATAAAATGGTCGCCATGTTTTAATGATGACAGTGAAGTTCAGCTTGTTTGTATGCCTCATAATCAACATAAAGCCAGCCGCTCACCGAAACTGTGTCTCCATCCTCGCTGTTTTGAGCCAAAACCTCAAGCTTGTCTTGTCTAGCTTTCTGTTTCTTCAGACGGTGGGCCTGGAGGGTGGCAAAGTAGTTTACTGCTGCGAACTCGACTAGAGCCGACGCCACAAAGGCAAAACACACAGCAATGAACCAATCCATGGCGGTGGCATACGCTACTTTGGGAAGTGACTCTCGGGCGCTGATGCTCAAGGTAGTCATGGTCAGCACTGTGGTGATGCCTGGAGGGAGACAAGCATTACTGTACATGGAGAATATTTACATGGAGATGTATTATAATGTCAAAAATGAAGTACACATTAATTGGTGGGAAAAGCGGGCGTACCAGCAACTGTGCGTGCAGGAACAGACTCTTTGTTGATCCAAAACGAGACTTGTGACAGCACAACAACCATGATTAGAGGGATGTAAGTCTGAATGAGATAGTAGCCCAGCTTCCTCTGGAGGTGGAAATGGACCACCTTCACAGAGTATTGACCTGCAAGTTAAACAGCACGTGTGAAGAGAGAGCAACCCCGAGGGACAGAGCAGGGATTCACAGAACATATGCCCTTGCCTGCCCTTGAAACGGAATAGCTGCTGAGAGAAACATATAGATATATTGCTGCTGTTAGGACTGGAATAGCCTGCTTACTGTAAGGCAGCTTGTGAGAGAAAAGAGGAAGGAAGAGAGGAAGGACAAAAAAAGGAGGCAAGGAGGAGGGAGCACAGCAGACATTTAGAAATGGGATGAAGTCAAGAGGAAGGAGCCAGTGAGGTGGGGGCAGGAGGAGAGCATGCCGTGTCACTATGTGTAACACTGCCCTGCTCCGTCTAAACACATGTATACAGACATTCACAGACCAAAAAAAACCATGCTGCATCATGCACACACATACAGAGGTTCTCTCTCTCTCTCAGTTTTATAAATGGGTATCATCTCTACGTTTTGGAGGCTGCCTCATCCTTTTCCACTCTATTCGAGGAATCTGTTGGATTCACAGCAGGGGAGCACTTCTCCTTCTGGTGAAAAGAGAAAATGCACACACACACTACTCCATCCTTCCTCTGCTCTGTCAGTGCATTCACTGGGCTTTAAACCCCATAGTTTTTTTTTAAGGCACACCATACGCATTAGGCCTGACCACTTAAGCATCTTACAGTAGATGGCTGCTCAAGGAAGTCTTTGCTTTTATATCAACTCTACTGTGGGGGAGCAATGGACACTAGTGTGGAGTTTGAAGAGACTCATTTGACCTCTTTCTGCTCTCAGAATCACCAGCTCATGAGAGTTTTTATTTTTTAATTAAACTTTTGAGTGTGGACTGTAACAGTGTCCTCATGAGAAGAGCAAAGCGATAGCTGACAGTGCTTTACCTGTGTTGGATTTGAATAGCTCAGTGGACAACGTCTGTCCCACCAGATCATACTGCAGAAGACTCATGGACTCCGGGGGACACTCGACAGATGCTATTGGCCCCTTCCTCCAAGTGAACACGATTTCACTGCTTGTGTAAGCATCTAAAAATGCAAGGACAATTAGGAAAAGCTTAAAATAAACACCAGAGTTTGACACATTCATGAATCTAGACATTATTATTATTTCTGTTTATGAACACATCTGTTACACTTACAGCTTCCAAACCTGAGGGGACAGGCGTGGCCGTCCATAGGGAAGTCCATCAGCCTCATTGGACACTCTGCGCTGATTGTCAGTCTAACAGCAAGAGAACACACAGAAACAAGCCGGAGGTTTTCTCTTCCTGTAGTGACCACAAACCATCTCATCCATAAAACAATAACTGCATAATATAAGATCACCTCATGGTGTAGAGGACAGTCCCGTTCTGCATGATGCGGAATAGTTTGTTAGGCGATGTTGTGTTATGAGAAATGGACTTCTTGGAGTTTCGGAAGAAGGTGTCTGGCGTCCAGATCTTGTCCACCATGCGGTTGTTCAGTCGGAGGATTTCAGTGGGGCCCTCGAATTTTAGCCGCTCATCAACCCACATCTGACGGAAGAACATGTCCATGGTGAACTCCTGATGCATGGACATAACGCGTTAGTGGATGTAAAACTTTATGAAGCATACTATCTTAAATTTTAACTTTAATTTATAGTATTTTGTCCTCATCAAACATGCAGTCTCTGATATTCATCAGCGTGCATAATAATGGAGAGACAACTTGCAGTGGAAGGTGAGGAAAGATGACGAGGCAATGATGGATGCCACTCATCCCAGATAATCATTAATCAATCCATTCAGCCATTCCCTCTGTCTGACATGTTGTCATATTGATTTAGAGGCCATCAATAATGGAGTTACAGGGCTGGTCAAACAGATTAAAGCTCATTAGATGGTCTCATGGCAGATTGCCCATAAGGCAGGCATTCTGTGGTCACCGGAGGGCTGTTATCCTCCACCGTCAGCACACATACATCTCCTTACAGTAGCAATATCTTACCATCTCAACATCTGAAACGGGTCCAAAGCTGGTGACAAAGATGTCTGTTTTCACCTCTGTGACACCACCTGCCACAGTAATGCACAGAAAGATTCAATATATCTTTAGTTCAGATTTTTTCTTTTCTTTATCCTTTAGAGACAAGCCTATAGGATTTAAAGTTGAATTACCTCCAGATCCAGGTCGCAGTCTGTTGTCATAACCATCCAAAAGTCGATCCAAAATGCGAGTGATGTTGTCTGAGTTAATCTTCTCATTTCCACTTACATTACCAAGACTGCAGAGAAACAAAAGGTTAAATTCCCAGACTCGCTGTATTCTGAGCCATGTTCAAGCAGAGAGGAACAACTTACCTTATCCAGCAGATAAAACTAACTAAAGCTAATGTCAAAACGGCCATCCTGGGCAGCATTTATCACCAAATTTGTAGTTAACTCTCTGAACAACTCATACTTAAAGTAGGAGTAAAAAAGATATATAGAGCCAGACACAACTGGTGTCGTTAAAGTGACTTGTAGGTATGCATAAGGACACAAGAGGCACTAAGGCAAGAACAGTAATCTAATTAACAGATTAGTAAATCCACTCCATTTTTAGACAAACAGTGGATTCTATTGGTTTCCTTTAAAGACAAAGTAAAAAATAAAACAGTTAAAATTAAAAACAATTATACTCACCGATTTACACTACAGCAATGGCAATAAAAGTATGACATATACACCTTACAAGACCAATCTTGTTTCTCTTGTTGCAGTTCCGTCAATCAGACAGCAGCTGGCACTGCAGCCACAACACTGTCCACAACCGGAAGTGAGGCCCATATAGGAGAAGAAGAAGAAGAAGTTTCGAGAGAGAGTGAGGGGCAAAAAAATAAAAAATAAAAAAAAGAAAAAGAAAAAGAAAAAGAAACATGGCGAGAGAGATAAACAACAATCAACAACCACTAAAACAATCAATAACAACAGTCCTGTAAACGAGTCGATAAGTTCAGAGTCTTTAAGGTTAGCTGCTCCCGATAATATCAGTCGATATAAAGTGTCAGTGAAGTTAGCCGACGTTAGAAGCCGCAGCATGTCGGTGCACTTCGAGGAGAAGAGCGGGGTCGTCCCCTGCAAGACACCCTGGGGCTCCTGGTCCCAGACCATGGAGGAGGTCTTCATTGAAGTCGATGTGCCTCACGGGACGTCGGCGAAAGAGGTCAAGTGTCATTTGGGATCCAGAGACATCGAGCTGCATGTGAAAGGGGAGGAAATGTTCAAGGTAAGCTCCCATCTTACAGTCTTTTTATTTGAACTAAGAGAGAGAGAAAGAGAGAGAGAGGGAGAAAGCAGGGTCAATAAACAGGCCTGTGTCTGTTTTATCTGCCTTTTGGTTGGTCTGTGATAAAGTAAATTATTAATACAGCACATTTAAAACAACCAGAGTTGACCAAAGTGCTGAACAAATTAAAGTAATAACAAATATGTGCACACATGGAGAAACAGAGACAGAACAGGACTATATAACAATATAAAATACAAGATTAAAACTACAACCCACTAAGAACAATCAAAAGCCATAGAAAACATGTATGTCTTGAGATTTGTCTTAAAATTATCAATGGAGGGCGTTTTAATGGACCAACAAACTAAATCTGGCAGAGTAAAACGTATTTGCTTTGTATACATATCACTGTAGAGAAGAAGTGTGTTAGATGTACCACCTGTGCTTTCCCTGCTTTGATAAGTGAAAAAGGTCTATTGGACAATGTCAACTGATTTCAATTTCTTTTCACCTGCAAAATCTGGAATAAATGCCTCCTCCGTCTCCTTGACTCTCTACCAAAGCAGAGACCATCTCCTTATTACTTTTTATAAAACCATAATTCACTGAAGATTAAAATGAAAGAAAGAAAATGCTCACATTTGAGTTCAGATTCCTCTCTTGTACTGTGACCTGTACCAGACTATTTTGACTGCTGCACACATTAACCTCACAATCTCTTCTCTTACATCCTCTCAGGGAAAGTTGTTTGACACAACCGTGTCTGACGAGGCTACGTGGACACTCGGTAGGCTGAATACCTCCCAAGTAACATTCTCAGGTTTAACTTTAGACGTTCAGTGTACGAAAGCCATCCTTACCTCACTCTGGTTTTCCTCTTTCTTTGGCTCAGAGGACAAGTGTCTCATCCGGATCATTCTGATGAAGACCAACAGAGAGGCAGGGAACTGCTGGTCCTCCCTGCTGGAGGGGGAGTACTGTGCCAATGCCTGGGTCCAGGACCAGATGCAAAGAAAGCTCACACTGGAGAGGTTCCAGCGAGAGGTTAGTTTGATTAATCTACAGTGTTTGTTGCCAAGATGTTATCAGATGCCTATATATTCCTATACATAAGTCTTCTACTGAAGGGCTTATAAGATGTAAGTAATGGCTTAATAAATAATTTACTCATGCTCTATCGATCAGCTGTAACCCACGTATAATAACACTTGTTGGGTTGCCAGGTTGTGAATAATCTCTTAAGCTGGTTTCTGTTTGGTAATAATGCAAGTCATGAGTCATAAATGCTCGTGGGTTTCTCCTCACTTTATAGTAAGCCATCAGCCCTTTTCCAGAAACACTCAGTCATAACAGTCAAAAGAAATGTTTCACTAATTGTCAACAAATTGTTCTTAATAACTTTTCTGTAAAGCATTAGTAAATAGTTTATTTTCAATTAATAAAGCCATTATTTACATCTTATAAACCCCCCAATAGTGTGTCTCGTTAGAAAGTGGTACCAGTTAGTTCAAAAACTATTTGTGGTTTGTTTTAAGACAAGTGAAGCAGATGTGAATTTGTCATTTGTCCACTTCAATAATGCTTCTTAAACTACTTCTGTAAGTGATGAAAGAAATCAGGTTTTAAATTCATCCTCAGAGCAAATGTACGTTAGTCTTGATTAGTGGCAACAGGGTTCCTGTAAATGAATTAATTGCGCTTCCTCTGTGCTAGAATCCTGGATTTGACTTCAGTGGTGCAGAGATCTCTGGGAATTTTGCTGGTGGTGGTCCAGACTTTTCCAGTTTACAGAAGTGAACCATGCCATGATCAAAAAAAACCTGCTGCGTGCTTGAGATGTCACCTCTGCCTAATGAACACTACGGAGGACATCATGACATGCACGGGAACTGTGGCTTCACCAGATCTCCTGTGACAAGAGGTCAAACATATTTGCCTTCAGAAGAACTCAAATACTGGGTGACTTTATTGTTCAACACACTTTTCACAGCAGCTCTTTGGTCCGACTTCTCTTTGGTGTGAAGGACTTATTTGGAAAGTTGCCAGGCTCGTTGTACAAACAGTTGATGGAAACTGTTCTGTCTGGTTTTAAGAAGCCTGTGAGACGTGTTGTCTTTTAATAATGACAGGAATGCAAACAGCAATAGCTTTTCAATAAAGTTTTATTGAAAGGTACAAGTGTATAGGTTAACCAGATGGTGTATTCAATTAGCCAGTTTGAATTTGAGAACACATTTTATTTGTCACTAAAAGAAACAAACTAGACAGGGAAACTGGCAAAGAAAATGCAATACAAATTCAAATCCACATTTCCACTGCAATGACCTTATTTTTTATTTTTTTTAGTGTTCTCTGCATAATTGACAAATGAAATCAATTACTACATGTGGTGCCTCACTCTGTGTACTTAAATCACAAATCTGTGAAAACAACTCATCGGTAACCGCTGATGACATCTCAGCTCAAAACAGTATGGTTAGCCATACAATGACAGGATCGTCACTAGCCTCGTTTCGCCGGACACAGCCGGAGCTCCTTCGCCTTATCAAAATAAAATAAAAAAAATCACCTTGGGTAGGAGTGTGCATTTAGGACAGCTTAGCAACCTAGGGTGGGAGTTAAGGATTTTGGGCCCGATTTCTTGGTTCCATTTTTGCTGTTCACAAAATCCTTCTCCCTCCTCTTCCACATGGTGGACTGAGGACCTAGGTGGTTCCATACTTATTAGCTTAAAACCAGCAACCCGTTCCAGGAAATTCCAAACACCGTGGTACGGATTTAAACAAGAACATACTGTACACTTGTGCAAGCAACTCAACCAGGAAAGTAAAACTTAGCAGGATGGTAGCAGATAAACCTTTCTCACAAAGCATTACTCGCCGTTGGGGCAGATTAAATGTAGCATGCTCGATCAATGAATGACAACAAACAAACTTGAGGAAAACTGTTACATTTTGTGCTTTTCCTTAAAGAAATCCACCATCACAGATGAAGATCTGTAAGGAAAATAACTGGAGCTGCACGTGGGTGACCATACTGCAAATCACTCAAATCCAATCAGAGAAGAAAGCTTTGGGGACAGTTGTCATTTATCTGCATGTAAGGTCACCCATTTGTAGCTCCAGGTTTAATAAGCTGATTCAGGTATGGTGGGAAGATGAGTGATCTTGTAGTAGCTGTGCTTCAGCTGACGCGCAGTTCTTCCCGAAATAGTCCAGCGTAGCCTCTGGGTGTTGGGCCTGGAGCACTTGGTGGTGGCATATTCAGCCAGGCATTTTCCAACCAGCTCCCGCACACAAACCAGGTCCCCATCTCTGATCTGAAGGGAAGAAACAACACGCAGGGGAAAGAATTTTAATTATGGCAACACACTGGAGCGTCTGTTCCTGTTGTCTCAACGGTAACCAATTTCCACATCAACTTTAAAAGGGATCAGTGTGTAGGATTCAGAGGCATCTAGCAGTGAAGTTGCAGATTACAACCTAATTGAATACCACTCGCATTCCAAGCGTGCACAGTGGCTGCAAAACATACAAAAGGCCAAGTCTAGAGCCAGTGTTTGGTTTGTCTGTTCTCGTCTACTGTAGAAACATGGTGGACTATGTAGAAGAGGATCCTCTCCCTCAGAAAAACGGCTCATTCTAAAGGTAGTGAGGTAAAACAACACTTCTCTAAATGTTACACACTGGACCTTTAAGCAATCTTTGGGCTCTAACCAACAAAAGCTACACACACTTCTTGAAGGGAACAATATTACTTCTGAGATTTTCAGTTGATAACACACATTTAAGATTGTTAAAAGGAAACAGTTGGCACTTACATTCAGCTGCTGTTGCAGACTTTTCAGGGCCTCTGGTATTTTGTCTGGGTACTCAGGGTCATGTTGTTCTTGGGCCTCATAACACAGGAGAGCCATAGCAAGCAAAGACGGCTGCAGAGAAACAGGTTAAAGATTCTTAATTTACAAAATCACAGTAAATATGTTTTTCTAAAAATCTGGCATATAAACTAAGAACCCATTTGAAAATGAATACGCTGAACAGATGGCCTACTTTATACCTGGACTACCACTACAAGTGATTACTATAAACAGGAAAGCTGTTTGTCAATCGAATGGTAAGCAAAGTGGAACTGCTGGATTCCACTTTGACGTTATGAATTTGTCTAATTCCAACAGTCAGTCCAGTTATTTTGGCCTACCTTTATTTTGGAGAAGACAAATGAGCAGTGACAGGCTTTCAGCTGAGCCTCCAGTCTCTCAAGGCTCAGGATCTTCTTGCTGTAAAAAGAAAATGCTATTAGTGTCAAGATTTAGTCACAGAAATTGACAGTTCACTTTTATATTTTAAATCCAACACTATACCACTGGTAATGTTTAGAACTGAGGATTTTCTAACATATCACATGTCTAAAAATCTACATTTCAAACAGGGCCGTGCCTGTTGGCCTTTAAAATATTTTCGGCTAGTATTGTCTTTAAAGCCAAATATGAGAAGACACATTTTAGTGGAGTAAATATAATCTTGTTGAGTCATGGTTCAGCCCTGCAGGTTGATGTGACCGTCTGTCCTTACCTCTCAGCGTCGAGCTGCTCCTGGATGTGGTTGTGAAAGAGGCGGAGAAAGCGGAGCGCTGTGGGGGCCTTCACCTTCCAGTAGAGCTTCTCCATGATAATCTTCTCCATCCTCATCATGTCAGACACGGTGAAGCGATTCTGACTGATGCGGATCAGGTCGTTGGCCAGAGGCACGTTCTTCTCTTCTTCTGAGGACTTCACAGCTATGTAGAAGCAGCACAGGCCCACACAGGACAGGTGCTTCGGTTGAATCTGTGAAGAACAAGCAATGGCAATCGGATTAGAAAAGAACGGTTACTATGTACACACAGCCAACAAGAACTAGATTTTTCGTGTATTACAAACCTTCATGACAGAGAGGAATCGATCCAGCAAGCTGATGGCCAGTGAGAAGGTGTCTGAGCTGAAACCAAAGAACCTGGTGAGAGAGAGCAGGTCCTTCACCTCCAGCTCCCTCAGTCTGGCGGTCATCCTGAGCCCATTGTCCTGGGAGCTCTCGATGAGCCTCAGGCCGCTCAGCTTTGGTTGGTATCGACCCTCCAGATCTGTCATGGCCTTAAGCTGAACAGCAAAGGGCTGCGCTACAGGTCCTGTCGCTGTGTCAATCATCTGTGCAGATAGGAGAAATGCTGAATATCAAGAATACTCACTGAATCAAACTTAAACACAATATTTTTGATTCATAATCTGAATACTGTGTATATGACATGTACAAATATATGAAATACTTCACATATATTAGATGAATACCTATAGATAATTAAATAAGACGTTGTGATGGGCACTAATAATATATAATGTAACTGCTTCACTCTGCTATAACAGTGAAATAAGTTACACATGTGCATCTGTTAACTAAAACCAGACACAGGTACCAAATATTAAGATTCAGATTCTGTTCAGAATATAAAATGTGTGTAGTTTACTAACAAGAATTGATCTGGATCTGGGATATGCACTGCTCAGGGGAACCTCAGTCAGACATGGGAGTGTTTCCAAATGTGTAAGTGATCAAATAACAAGCCTTCCCCCAACACCTGTCACTGAACTGGACTCAACTGGACCCAGACAGGGGCCACTTCACATAACAGCGACATGTCAAACCAAGTTTCTCACAAGTCATAAGAGTACTTTATCACATTTGGATTAATACGAGTCTTAAAATATGTGATTCACTCTTGTTTTAGGAGTTTTTGTTTTGACTAATCTGCTCCACATGAGGCTCATATGAAGAGGACCAGGCCCTGTTTGAGGCAGTCATGTCGGGACATGTCCCTGCCATACACACCAATGGAGAGCTAACCCAGCGCCTACTGACAACAAACCCAAGTGATACAACACCGTTTAATCCACAAAACTGTGTCTAAAACCATAAAACACAACCCTGTGGGCACTGAGTCGGTGTAACGTGATGATTTATGGAGGTAAAAGAGAGGAAATAACACACTAATCTGACGTTACCGTGAGCTACAATGCTAACACAGCGGACCTTCATTTAAAGCTACAGACAGCCACATAACCGCGTACTTTGAGGGGTTTTTAAATCCACAAACACCACTTTAAGTCAAACATTGTGGTTAATTGACGCGACACAGACAGAAGATTGGTTAACTTACCTTAGTTCAAGTTACGCTGCCTTTAATATATTGTGAAAAATCAGCAGTTGAACACACGCTTGAAGTAAGCGAGTGAAAAAAAGGTTTAAAACACTCACAAAAAAAAAAGTGTAAGTATGAACTTTCACTAAAGAAAGTTTTAAGCACAGGTTTAATTTCTGCCTATGCACACCCCCTACCCTGTAAGGCGATGGGGAAAAGGGCAGTTTAGGTTTTAATGCGGGCATAAAACCAAGCCCATGCCCAAACATGGTGAGCTGTCATTGGCCATCCTTGGGGTGACGCGCCTGGTTCTACATTTTAATTGGATATCGTTCCAGTCATTCACGATTAAGGCCCGCCCTCTAGCTGGAGAGCCAATCGCAGTTGAGGAGGCGGGACATGGCACAGAATTGCAACCTTGTGTGTCTGTTCTCTTATTATATTGGCTATAAAATTATATGAAGCTTTTACACTGAAATCATTTTTACTCTCATAAGTAAAGCAGCACAGTATATACAATATCTACTAACATTGTTATGTTTATTAACTATTTTTGCGTTCAATAAAATAGAGGCCAATAAAAGGTGTTCAACATTAAGGTAGGGGGTGTAACACAGCAATGTTTTTAGTAATATTTTAATGTAAAACTGTGCAGGATTTCTTAAAATGTAATATACCGATTGTTTTCATAGGCCAGACATGATCCCACTATGCGGTCTCCTCTTCTTTGTAAATGGACGCCTACTGGCAGGTTTCTGGAACAGTCTGGAAGGAACCTGAACCTGCTGAGACCACAGAAATGCCACAATCTGCTCTCTGTCTGTCTGGCTTTCTGTCCAAAAGTGCAATTATAAAGAGAACAAGGCGCGTTTTCAATAAAGTAACTCTTTATTACATCAGGATATACAAATCTGCAAATCTGGTCCAGACAGACCCACCATAGATCGACTAACATTAAGAGATTTAATCCTGAATTTATATACATCCAGGCTTTTTCAGGTATTAACAGTATAGTTTTTGCAGTTTTAAAACTATGAAATACTTACTAAGTAGGTCTTTTTTGACACAACATATGGGCTGACATGTTAGTATGATAGGGGGCCTCTTACAATGATTATATAGTATTTGTACTGCGACTACATTTTAAACTGCATGTCAGACTGCATTTTAAAGTGCTTTTAAATCATAACAATGTACAATCCACATAACATTTAACAGCAATATCATGTCACTTTATAATATATATTTCACAGTGTAAATTGTCATCAGTCCAAAACTACAAGCATAACATGACAGATGAAAGACGGTAGCACATTGAGTACAAACGGAGATTTTGGCTATAAAGGTATTTAATAGGAATGAAGGTTAGGAGCCATGCAGAAACCATGCTACAGAGCGCTGCTTAAAAGCTTAAAGGAGAGTTTAGTAGACATGGAAGACTTCAGGCTGACTCACTTCCAGGGATGGTAAGTGCATTTCTATAAAATTCACATTGTAAAAATAATATACTTGATTGTTAGTCTGTGATCTTTTGACGTGGTAGAAAGTCTTCTAATTCAAATTCCTTCCTGAGGTTAAGGAGCACGCAGACGGAAGACTAAAGAAGCTATGAAAAGGAAAGAAAAAACATGTCATGATTATCTGAACAAGCAACTCTACATATACTAACATTCGGTGCAAAGGATAATAAAGTTTAATAAGCATTTTGTTATTTGTCATGTTTGCTGCCACTGACTGAAGGCAAAAACAAAACAGAAACTTGAATGAATGCTTTTATAGAAACACTGATAACAACTGTTAACCAATCAAAACCATGGTTTGGTGTCATGGAGTCAACAGGTTTGAAATGCTTTGAATCATAGAAATGGCTGATGTGAAGGGAATTCAGAGAACTGAATGTGTTCAGCTGACCAACAGATGAACTGATGCCATGTTCGGGTTTCCATTGTCTTTATTTATTTGAATATAAATAACTCAGACTCACTGTAAATAAATGTAATTATTTTGCATATAATGATGTTAGACAATTAAATAATCTTCAAACTATCAACAATTAAAAAAACAATTATCATTATTCACATTAGACATAAAAAACCCTACTGGAGACCATCCAACTTGTAAATAACTGCATGTACAAATACACAAATGCTAATGCAAATGTTAATAACATAATATAACTCACAACCATCAGTTCAATTTAGTTAGTAACTGAAACTCTCGTTCTGTTTCCATTAAGTTTTCTAACTGAGAAACAGAGACCTTAATTCACAACAGGAGATGAACACACATTCATGGCAGGAACATAAAACAACACAAGCTACATGTTATGAAAACAGTCCACGGATTGTGTGTCTAGCAGAGTCAGCATTAGGGACAAATTAAATAAACTGAGCAAAGCTACCTTTTTGATCCGTAAGTACACAGTGGCTCACAGCCATCACATTATTCAGGCTCACATACGTGCATTGTCACTGTGACACTATGTCCACACATACAGTGTCAGGAAGTAATGTCAGATATGACAGTCTCTTTTTCCCATGCTGATGGCAGACACATTCCTGGTTTCCCTGGATGTTTGATCCATAAATCAACTGAAAGGGGAAAAGAAATAAGACAAAATATGGAAAAAAATAAAAAAAAATGAGGGATTTGAGGTGCAGTATAAATCAAATGAATAAATGAATGAAATGGGAATGCAACAGTGATTGGGTTGTAACATCTACTAACAACTCCTGTTTTTTGACATTTTAATATTTATATCTGGATTTCGCCAAATCAGATTTAGGCCATATAGCTGAACTGAAATCAGATTAAAACTGAATTTGTAGAGATATCTGTCAATCCAATCACTTAAACCAATGGTTTAAACTGTCTATAAGGTCATATCCAACAAGACACATGACACTGAAACCATGTCTGAAGCACAGCTAACCAACCAAGACTGTACCACCAATAATAGTTGAATACAGCAATCTACTGACACTAATGCTGCCTGGTGAGACGGACCAGTACAGAGAATCTCCATTTGTGGAGATAAATGAATCCAGTCTTTCACTTTCAATTTGTAAAACAAATCAGCTGTGCCTTTAATGTTTAACTTGCCCAGATTTGAACCTACATTCCTTTTGAGCAAATTATTTACTGTATTTAGCTATTCTTTAATTTTTAGATATGTAATAATGTATTTACGCCTTTTTCTAATACAGCTAGAAGAATCACCAGCAACAGTATTTCAGAAGTAAAACATGCAGTAAAAACCAAGTCACATCTTCATTCCTGTGTGGCATTATACTGGCTTAATGCCTTTGGTACTCTTAACATGGTATGGCTTTAAAGCCAGTACAAGCTGCCATTAATAGAGAACATTTTTGAAGGAACTAGGCTTTCATTTAATCACATTTGTTTCTAGTTTACTAATCACTGAGATATCTTTGTGATTGTGGATTTTCAAGGCTAATCTTGAGTGTCAAACTGTGTATGTTTTGAGCATACATAACTGATCCTGACATATACTGTTTCCACCTGCAGAAATGATTACGGTTCTTTGTTGGACGCCTGAGAATCATCCACGTTGCACACGGCGTGAGCATCGGTGGGTCCAGTCGAATGTGAATATAAGTGCCCCTGCCTGAGATACAGTCTGGCAGGTCAGCCTGCAGAGAAGTAAGCATCAGGCTGTGTCATGCAAGCTGTGACCCTTCCTACTATGTCTGGGGACACAGTGTCAGTCCAAATCTGTCCCTGTATCAGTTTCCGAGCCAACGTGGCTTCTGGGAAGATAACACTATCTCATTAATCACATTGTACGCCTCTCCCCTCTGTCCATTTAAATACACATAGAGTGGCTTAGAGAATACACAGGCATGGCTGGTGAATATAGTGTATGTGTGACATTTGACTTATCCTTGAATAGCTCGAGAGATCTCAGTGTTATTATTTAGCAGCATTAATGCTTGCTTTGGCAACCATGTGGTACAAAAAAAATCACTTGAGCAGCAGCACAAATCCAATACATACAGAAAAGAGACTTACTTCTTCTTGTCCTTGTCCTTCTTGAATGGTTGCGAGCAGCCTTGGAGGGCCTGTCCCATCAGTGTCTCAGCTGCAACCTTTCTTCTATTGAAGGCATTCATCTCCTCCTCCAGTTCTCGTCTTTTCTCTTCCAGATTCTTCTTTTCTTCCTGGTGCATCCGCTTGAGCTGCTCGAACCTCTCATGAAGCTAGAGATGATGCAGTTTGGGCAGGGCTCAATGAGAGACAAACAAAATATGGTATATTTTCAATGAGTCATTGTCTTATGAGGATGTAAATTTTTACCTCTTTTTCCTTTTCTTTCAGCTCTGCTTCTGTCTCCTTCACTTTGTTGACGAACATCTGCCTCATTTCTTCCTCTTTGCGCTGCAGATCCACAAGGAACTCCTTCCTCTTGGCTTCGTATGTCTCCTGAAGACTGAAGATAGGCATAAAAGCAATGTTAAGCTCAGTCTAATGCACTATTTGGACAGGATTAGTATCCAGGAGGTGGTTGCTCCAGCTGATCATAAGTTTAAACTTAGCTTGGTTTTAACATAAACTTTTACTACATGGGGATTAATGTATCACATAATTAAAATGGGATGTACTTCACTAACTACTTTTTACCTAGAGCTTAATTCTTACAAATTATTTAGCAACGGGAACTTTCAGGCATAACTTCTGCAACAAAAATAGCTTATTGACATTTGACCCATTCAGACTGAAGACCAAAATAAGTAATATGATTGACACCTGAGCTGACACTTGATCGAAATGCTGGTTAATAATGATGTAAACTGGGAAAATTTTAAGTTACATATCATAGAAATAAAACTATATAAATTGCAAAACTTTGTGACATATAACATTAGATTAAATGGCCAAATAAGGTCATTAGGTTGCATAATGGATATTTTCACCTCACTCTAAATGACATAAATACTATGACCTCTGACATGTTCCTGTATGTATGCATATTTAGGTCATAGCTACATTTACAAAGGATTGTTGATCCTAAAACTCCCTAAAACTGTTATATGGTGGTTATTATACAGTTTGTGATGGTAGAGTGACTTCCTGTTGACATAGTTGATCAATTATTTTGATTAGACAGCACTACAGATATTTGGTAGCAACTGATTTACATATTACTTAAAGGTCCAGTGTGTACCATTTAAGAGGATCTATTGGCAGTAATGAAATATAATATGTATAGGTATGTTTTCATTAGTGTCAAGCCCTTGTTTTTAAATGATCCAACCTGATTTAGTGAATCACTAGTTTGAAATTAGTAGCTAGTTAGTACCCAATAGTAGATAGATGGACGTGGCTCATCTCAAGATTAATTTATGAGGGATGAGTCAAAAATATATCCAAATACATCAATTAATTATACTGATTGATGAATAATTAAACTAGAGTCCAAATAGATGCATACAGCTTTACACTTTTCGTTTAAGCTCCAATCAGGTGATAAAAAAACAGAGAACAGCTTTTTTTCCCCGTTTATGTCCAATAAGTCAAAAACAAGAACTTTATTTACTATTTTACTCTTCTACAGTATATTTATTTCAGTAGTTCATTTTATTTTTTCAGCTTGTTAGCTTTCTTGTTTTTTTGTCATGTTTAATCATTTTATCTATTCCCTTTTATTTCACACCAAATATGTCCAATTTTCTTTTTTTAATACGGAGATGGATGTGTCCAGATATGTTCAGGGGAGAATTTAGTCCAGGGTGGGTGTGTTGGTGGTTCTTTGATGATATTATATAATCCCATCTGAACACTAATTAATTTACATCTCACCAAATCATGTAAACATAGTTTTTGATGTGTGCTTTTTTACCAATAAAATTATTTATCAGCACAGTTTTAACATCATAAGAGAGCAGGGTTTTTTTTGGCAGTTCCACTGAAGTGAGTTGTCCAGATGCATTACATTATTGCTACCCCTAATTTCACCTGAACGACTGGCTGTCGGGGTCCGTGTCCTTGAAACCCATCTCTTCTAGCTTGCAGCGACGGTAGAGCTCATAGTGTCGAGCGTGAGTTTGCTCTCGGAGATCCTCCATGTTCACACGCAGTAGCATCTCCCTTAACTTCACAAAATCACAGTGGTTTTCATTCTCCACTGGAAAAGAAAAGAAGCTTTATCATTTAACTGTTTGCAAAAGTCTGATCTAAATGACAACCCAGTGCTTACTGTGCTCAGAAAAACAGAGAATCATTATTATCATGTTATATGTCAACGGAAAAACTAATAATAGTCTGGCAGCAGGCATCTGACTAAACAGATGATGCTTGTCAAATCAATTCAGCGCACTCACCCTGGACGGATCCCCAGGGGTACAGCCTTGCTTTCACCATCTTGTTTCCTACTTTAACGTCTTCTACACTTCCAACCACAGCAAAGGGAAGATGAGTCTGTAACATATAGTGCTGATATTGTTACAATATGTTTGAAAATATTGGGTTAAAAATAATGCTACTGCTGTCAAATCCAAAATATCATTATTTAAACATATGTCAACTTTGTATTCAAATCATGAATTATGTTGTGCTACTTAAGTTCTTTCTTAAAGAATCCTACTCTTAAAACTTTTACTACATTATTACTAGTAATACAATACCAAAGGGTGGGTGGATGCTTTGTAAGAATACAGTCATAGAGAAAGTAAGAATGTATATTATCTTGTAAAATACATAGGATACTTGCACTATGTGTCTGTGTGTTTCTAGGACTCACATTCATGGAGGAGTTGATCTCTGCAACAGCTTCATCCTCTGTAGGGAACTGATAAATCTGCACTCCGTTACTGACCAGCTCACTCATTATCTTGATCTTTAACTTGTCCAGTTCACTCTTGGATACTGTGTCTGCCTTTGCAATAACAGGGATGATGTTCACCTGCATAGAGAAACATTATATGAGTGACAGACTGAGGAAGAAGAGTTGCTGAAATACACGGTGCCAGATTCTATTGTCACCTTGCTGTCCAGTTTCTTCATTGTGACGAGATCAAGCGACTTCAGGGAGTGTCCGGTGGGAGCGATGAAATACAGGCAGATGTGGATTCTCGTGTCATGGCAATTAAACAGGGAGCGTTTTATTTTTAGCTCCTCTTCAAGGTACTTTTCAAACTGGGTGTCGATATACTCAAGAATGGGTTTATAGCTGCACAGAAAAACAGCACAGACATAAAAGATGATTATCATTTCATCCGTAAATGAACATTAAACTTTACATTGCTTTTTCCTTGTTTGAGAAACATTCCAGTATCCTAGTTACAAACTCTGCGACTACAGTCTTAGGGCCAAAAAAATGCCGTCTTTTTTTAACTCCCTGCTGTTGGAGCACTCAAATGTCTATTGAGACTGCATTAGTTCTACCAGTCATTCCCATATTCCCTTTCTTCCCTTCCAATTCAAATGCCAGAAGCAGGGCCAGATCTCTTCCTCAATTCCATACAGTGTAAGTGTGTTGGCGGAAGTACCAGAGCAAGAAGGGGAAAAGATTAATAGCTGGTGCTTTTTCTATTGCTAGCTGGGTGATTTTTTAAAGATGAATATCGAAACAGCGTTGAAGTTTTCTGTGACATTTTAATAAGGTTCTGTATTTTCCTTCCTTTGCACAGGACAGTAACTTGTTCAAACAAACGCTATGCAAGAATCTGTAGATCTGTACCTCTGTTCTTTGTTGATCTGGTCTCCAAACCCTACAGTGTGCACAATGGTCAGCTTGAGGTTGACATTGCTCTCCTGCAGATCGTACGTTTGTGGGCGTAGCTGCACCTCACTCTCATAGTGGCTGGCTTCCTCGTTTTCAAATGTTGTATTGAAGAGAGTGTTCATTAATGTTGACTTGCCTATCCCGGTCTCCCCTTTAAAAAAAAGAGAGACAATGAAATGAGATGAGAGAGAGAGATGAGTGGAAGACTAATTCCACCTTAATGCTCCACATACCACATTAATACATGTCATGGTGATAGCACTGACTTTGGATTAAGAGCTCCTCCTGGGTTCAGACGTACCTACGCAGAGGATGTTAAAGCAGAATCCCTGTGCAACTGATTTGCTGACCAACTGGTCGGGAAGACTGTCAAAGCCCACATGGCCTCCGAGCTCCAGGTTTCGCTTCTCTTCATTCTGATGTATTTGTAAACAGAACAGAAAAAAATAATATATTAGGATAAATGACTCACATTTCAGCAATATTTAATCACATTCACTTCATATCAGTGATTTTTTTATCAACAAACATCAACAAAAAATCAATTGGTGACTTATCAGGGTATATATAATGGAAAAAATAACGGCAAAGCTCAACCTTGACATGGTCTTATTCGAGAAGAGGTGGAACCCACTAATTACTTACTTTGGACTAACATTCCAGGACACCTAGGTGATTCAATATCATATAGGCACCTACAGGCCTGGACCCTCGAAAGTAAAAGGGTGTGTTTTTGTTTTTGTTATGTCTTTATTTCATAAGTATCACTCACCATGGTAATTCTACTCAATCTTATTTATACATAATTATCAATATTATTATTATTATTTATCATTTATTTTAACTTTCGGACCTCTGGCACTGTCGTAAGAATAAGGAACCACCTTGCCGACAGGTTCTCTGTTCATGCTGGTTTTTTTTGTTTTGTTTTGTTTTTACTCAGATATGGAACAAAAGAATTTAAAGCTTTTAAGAGAAAAGAAATTCTGTAAGTGTGTTTAAGTATGTAAAGCTTGAAACATCAATAAACACATTTGTTCAAAAAAAAGAAAAAAAGATCAATTGGTGAGGTTAAAAAAAGTCCTCCCGTCAGATCCAATCCCCACATTTCTGCTTTCAGGCCTAAAAGCATTCTTCGCTAATGAGGTCATCTCTCTCTTCCACTTAACACACTGAATAGGTCTGGCCTAAAAAAGGCTTCTGTCTCTCAAACTAACGTCCTCCAGTAAATACAGGCAAAAAGCCAAAAGATTCATTTGTGTTGTGCAGCACCGTCGTCATACTTTACATCGTGTATTAAGAAGCTTTAGTGTAAGAGCTTAGCACAACTATAATGTGTGAGTAACGTCAATGCTGCAGATGGTAAGGTGATTATAACTGTGCTTTTATCTAGGACTAGAAGTGGTCTGACAAATAACCGACTGAAGGACCAGTGTGTAGGATTTAGTAGCATCTAGAGGTGAGGTTGTAATCAACTGAAGCCCCTTCAATCAAGAAAATGCGAAGAAGAATCTACGGTGGCCATAAAACTCACAAAAAATATGAGAGGTCTTATTTAGAGCCAGTGTTTAGTTTGTCTGTTCTGGGCTACTGTACAAGCCTACTGTTATTTTCATCAATGAAAAAATACAGATGAATATTATAGGGGACCTTTTTCTTTAATAAACGACAGTTAATTGTTCAAATCAAAACATTTTTAGCACTACTTGTACTCATGTTTGGAGGCTGGAGGCTAAAAAAACAATAATATTAAACTTAATTCCCAACAATAATGTTGTCTATACTTCACACGTTCACTGAAAACACACCACGGTATTTGTCCCCCCCCAATATAAATACCCTAAATTATTAAAAATTGAACAAATGTATTTTCAGACTTCACATTCTTCACATTTTAGATTCACATTCTTCAAAAGAAATGATTGAAATGGTGGAACAAATATATTTCTGACTCCGTCTCTGGTCTCCTCCACTACAATTCAAATTACTGGGTAGTTTAGACACTTTGCACAACTTGGTTAGGGCTTCATAT